ACGCAAGGTGTCCCAAAATGCTGGCGGTGTTCAAATGAGATTTAGAGAATTATGCAGGTGGAAAGTGAATGCATTCAACAAAAATCGGCTCGCGGCGCCACTGCCTGCAACAAGTCACATTAACACGGCAAGAGACGGAGGCACGTTATAGTCCTCACAGAACACAGTATATACATCACAAGGTGAGGACACCACAAGAGGTCATGTTTGGAGGATGGATGGAGGAAGGGTTAGAGCAGGGGTAGCCCAAACTCCGGGCCCTCCAGCTGTGGTGGAACTACGAATCCCATGAGGCATTGCGAGATTCTCACAGACATGACTCCCGCAGAGAGATGCTTCATGGGATTTGTAGTTTCACCCACAGCTGGAGGGCCGGAGTTTGGCCATCCCTGTCATAGCTGGGACCTAACCTATGCTGAGGATCCCTTCCTCACATGGGGCCAGGGCAGCCGTCAGAAATGTTGGGGCACCTTACATGGCTTTAGGCCGGGCCCCCTCGCCGCTGGACACGGGCTTAGTGACGCGCTGGACGCAGGGCTTAGCGACGCGCTGGACACAGGACCCACCTGAGAGTGACCTTGCAGAGCTGTCACTCTATGGTGGGCTCTGAAGGGGCCTCAGGTGGGCTGGTCAGGGCTGCATCCCTCCCCTCCTTTCCTTCCTCCCTTCCTAGCTCCTCTTACCTGCACACGTGGCCTCGTCTGCCGCCGGACAGGCTAGAAGTGACGTCACGCCTCTGGCCAGTCCGACATCAGACGAGCAGCATCACTGATGGGGCCCCAGCTTGTCTCGAAGGCGTTCGAGCGGCAATGCTGGGGCCCTACGCTGCTAGGGCCAGGCCTCCTCGCCCTTCACCGTCGGCCGATAGTCACGTAAGGGGCCCGGGCGGGCCCCCCAGGCTGCCCGGGCCCCTTACATGAGTATCGGCCGTAGCCCCCTGATGGCTGCCCTGCATGGGGCACTGGTCCTCCATTCCAAGTGTCTACCAAGGGGTGATCTGTTGGATCTCTTGTCAATGGTGGGAGGTGTATCACCAATCAGCCTGTATATGGCCCATCTTTTAACCACTTGAATTCTATTTTCACCCTTAAAAATAAAGCACACACGAAGACTAGAATTTACAAATGTAGTTGTAGAAAAGGTTGACAACTCACCCTCCTCGAGAGACGACCAGCTTCACTTTGACTTTGTAGGAGACAATGATTCCGAGGATCTCCTTGTTGGCACCATCTCTCAGTCTGCACACAGGAAGGAAGATATTTCTTAATGGCTGTTACATGTGGTGCTACTGGGAACACATGCAATAGGGGAATGACAGGTACACTTTAACAGGAATCACCAGATGAAGGAGGGATGTGAAAACCCAGCTTGTGTTAGATGACATAGGGGCATGAACTGGTGCAGGGGTGTCCCTGGCATAACCACTGCCTGTGGCTGGGGGGCAAGTATTTGATGGGGTGCTGATGGTGCTCTTGCCAGCGTCTTGGTGGTGCACCGCCCAGCTGTGGCCACCATCCCTCCCAGCTCACCGACGTCACTGGTTGCCAGGAGCTGAGCGGGATGCCGGCCAGAGCGTCCCGGGTTGCTAAGAGCTGGGCAGGGAGATGCACGGTATACGGTCCTTACCCATCTCCCTGACCGGCTCTTAGCAACCCGGGACGCTCTGGCTGTGACCCAAAGAGATGCTGCCTGAGGCAACAGCCATTGACAGCCAACTGAAGCCATTAACAGCCATGGACCTGAGATTCAGAAGAGGTCAACCATGGAAGTTCTCCGACTTCCTCACCGTTAGGATAAGCAGCTCCTTTGTGATGTCATTGGCTGCCGGGAGCTGGGCAGAGCATCACAGGTTGCAAAGTTCTGGGCGGAGAGATGTGTATGGCCCTTACACACCTCCCCACCCAGCTCTTGCTGGGGTATGTTCCTGGTATGGTGGGTGTATAAATACTGGGGTATGTTCCTGGTATGCTGGGGGTATAAATACTGGGGGATGTTCCTGGTATTGTGGGGGTATAAATACTGGGGTATGTTCCTGGTATGGTGGGGGTATAAATACTGGGGGATGTTCCTGGTATGGTGGGGGTATACATACTGGGGTATGTTCCTGGTATGGTGGGGTATAAATGCTGGGGTATGTTCCTGGTATGGTGGGGTATAAATGTTGGGGGATGTTCCTGGTATGGTGGGGTATAAACGTTGGGGCATGTTCCTGGTATGCTGGGGGTATATATACTGGGGTATGTTCCTGGTATGCTGGGGGTATAAATACTGAGGTATGTTCCTGGTATGGTGGGGGTATAAATACTGGGGTATGTTCCTGGTATGGTGGGGGATAAATGTTGGGGCATGTTCCTGGTATGCTGGGGGTATATATACTGGGGTATGTTCCTGGTATGGTGGGGGTATAAATACTGGGGTATGTCCCTGGTATGGTGGGGGTAAAAATACTGGGGTATGTCCCTGGTATGGTGGGGTATAAATACTGGGGTATGTCCCTGGTATGGTGGGGTATAAATACTGGGGTATGTTCCTGGTATGGTGGGGTATAAATGTTGGGGTATATTCCTGGTATGGTGGGAAGCTCTTACAGCGTGCTGGAGGCCAGGTTGGTGTCTTCATGCTTTAGTTTGCCGTCCAGGGCCAGGCCCCGCTTCTCCCGGTTGTTGGCCAGGTATGGAGTCAGTGTGTAGACTTTGCAGAAGGTGGAGCTGGGGGCCACAACGTCATTGCTGGGGCAACACGGGCAGAACGGGAGGAGAAGACATTAATATCAGAGAATGAGAAGAAGCAAGTCAATGCAATCACAATACACAACGCCGGCCACATCCAACCGCTACACAACGCCGTCCATATCCAACCGCTACACAACGCCGTCCATATCCAACCGCTACACAACGCCGTCCATATCCAACCGCTACACAACGCCGTCCATATCCAACCGCTACACAACGCCGTCCATATCCAACCGCTACACAACGCCGTCCATATCCAACCGCTACACAACGCCGTCCATATCCAACCGCTACACAACGCCGTCCATATCCAACCGCTACACAACGCCGTCCATATCCAACCGCTACACAACGCCGTCCATATCCAACCGCTACACAACGCCGTCCATATCCAACCGCTACACAACGCCGTCCATATCCAACCGCTACACAACGCCGTCCATATCCAACCGCTACACAACGCCGTCCATATCCAACCGCTACACAACGCCGTCCATATCCAACCGCTACACAACGCCGTCCATATCCAACCGCTACACAACGCCGTCCATATCCAACCGCTACACAACGCCGTCCATATCCAACCGCTACACAACGCCGTCCATATCCAACCGCTACACAACGCCGTCCATATCCAACCGCTACACAACGCCGTCCATATCCAACCGCTACACAACGCCGTCCATATCCAACCGCTACACAACGCCGTCCATATCCAACCGCTACACAACGCCGTCCATATCCAACCGCTACACAACGCCGTCCATATCCAACCGCTACACAACGCCGTCCATATCCAACCGCTACACAACGCCGTCCATATCCAACCGCTACACAACGCCGTCCATATCCAACCGCTACACAACGCCGTCCATATCCAACCGCTACACAACGCCGTCCATATCCAACCGCTACACAACGCCGTCCATATCCAACCGCTACACAACGCCGTCCATATCCAACCGCTACACAACGCCGTCCATATCCAACCGCTACACAACGCCGTCCATATCCAACCGCTACACAACGCCGTCCATATCCAACCGCTACACAACGCCGTCCATATCCAACCGCTACACAACGCCGTCCATATCCAACCGCTACACAACGCCGTCCATATCCAACCGCTACACAACGCCGTCCATATCCAACCGCTACACAACGCCGTCCATATCCAACCGCTACACAACGCCGTCCATATCCAACCGCTACACAACGCCGTCCATATCCAACCGCTACACAACGCCGTCCATATCCAACCGCTACACAACGCCGTCCATATCCAACCGCTACACAACGCCGTCCATATCCAACCGCTACACAACGCCGTCCATATCCAACCGCTACACAACGCCGTCCATATCCAACCGCTACACAACGCCGTCCATATCCAACCGCTACACAACGCCGTCCATATCCAACCGCTACACAACGCCGTCCATATCCAACCGCTACACAACGCCGTCCATATCCAACCGCTACACAACGCCGTCCATATCCAACCGCTACACAACGCCGTCCATATCCAACCGCTACACAACGCCGTCCATATCCAACCGCTACACAACGCCGTCCATATCCAACCGCTACACAACGCCGTCCATATCCAACCGCTACACAACGCCGTCCATATCCAACCGCTACACAACGCCGTCCATATCCAACCGCTACACAACGCCGTCCATATCCAACCGCTACACAACGCCGTCCATATCCAACCGCTACACAACGCCGTCCATATCCAACCGCTACACAACGCCGTCCATATCCAACCGCTACACAACGCCGTCCATATCCAACCGCTACACAACGCCGTCCATATCCAACCGCTACACAACGCCGTCCATATCCAACCGCTACACAACGCCGTCCATATCCAACCGCTACACAACGCCGTCCATATCCAACCGCTACACAACGCCGTCCATATCCAACCGCTACACAACGCCGTCCATATCCAACCGCTACACAACGCCGTCCATATCCAACCGCTACACAACGCCGTCCATATCCAACCGCTACACAACGCCGTCCATATCCAACCGCTACACAACGCCGTCCATATCCAACCGCTACACAACGCCGTCCATATCCAACCGCTACACAACGCCGTCCATATCCAACCGCTACACAACGCCGTCCATATCCAACCGCTACACAACGCCGTCCATATCCAACCGCTACACAACGCCGTCCATATCCAACCGCTACACAACGCCGTCCATATCCAACCGCTACACAACGCCGTCCATATCCAACCGCTACACAACGCCGTCCATATCCAACCGCTACACAACGCCGTCCATATCCAACCGCTACACAACGCCGTCCATATCCAACCGCTACACAACGCCGTCCATATCCAACCGCTACACAACGCCGTCCATATCCAACCGCTACACAACGCCGTCCATATCCAACCGCTACACAACGCCGGCCACATCCAACCTACAATGTGACAACAATGATTGGAACTACAACTTTTATTCTAGGATTGGGTAGAGTGGAAATGCTTAAGGGCCCGTTCACCTCTATCAATGGCGGCGCAGTAACGGGCGCTTTACCACAACCCGCCATACTAGGTGTGAATGGTCCCATACATCTCCTATTGGTTTTCTTTTTCTTGCTTGTGTCCTGTTGGGGAGATTTCCCTTCACTTCCTGAGACACAACGGCAAGTAAAGGGAAATGTCGCCACAGAGAGGGAAATCCCCCGTTACCGATCAATTCAGGAAGCTTCACACCGGGATCAGGATCTTTATTTTGGTCACATGACAGTTAGCTGTAAATCCTATTGGACTCCACTGAAAAATAACTGTCACTTCTCCGCAAATAAGGGTTCGTTCACACCATAGGGCAGTGCGTTCCGGTCGGAATCGGGCCGGAACGCGCTGCCCGCATTGCGGCCGGCTCACTTTTTTTGCCGGGCTGGAGGGGGCGCGGCGGGCCATTGAAGTGAACGGCACCGTAGCCACGCCCTGCGGCTGCAATGCGGTCGTCCGCACGAGATCGCAAGGCATATTTGCGAGATCGCAACGCACTGCATATGGTGTGAACGAACCCTAACTGTCACTTATCTGGAAATAACTGTCACTTTGTTGAAAAGGTCCTTTATACAGATGTTTTAGCTTTGTGAACTGAGCCCCATAGACAGTTGTCACCTGAACCTGGTGTTTCTATTGGAAGAGTTTCCCTCTTCTGGTGACAACTCAAAATTTAGGGTTTTCACCGCTTTCAGTCCCCGTGGTCACAGAACGCATAGAGAAGGTGAATCTATCGAGACATCAATAAAAACCTGATAGAGAGTCTAACCCGAGGGGGGGGGGCAACTTCGGCCCTCCAGCTGTGCTTTAACTACAAACCCCAACATGCCTGTGGCAGTCAGGCATGCAATGCCTCATGGGACTTGTAGTTCCACCACAGCTGGAGGGCCGGAGTGGGTCTAACCCTTCCATACGCCATTCACAACTATATACAGTACTTTTAATCTGCCACTAGATGTCCTCAGTCTAATATCCGGCATCATTCAACTTACTTCCTCAGAGCCCAGGTCATCCTGGACCCACCCCCAGCCTGTGACTGGACACTTAAAAGGATAAGCAGCGCAGTCATGACATCATCTGTCTGTCACTCTGCTCTCTCTGGAATGATTGGCTCCCTGGGCTGCTTCTCGCTCTCCCCCTAGGTGGCCACCAGATGCCGCCGAGGAGCACGGGAAAAAGGAATGTATATCTTATGCTCCTCAGCTCCATCTAGTGGCCACAATCCAGTATTATTCTGATATTACATGTAACCCGGAAAGGAAATATAACTAATAACGTTCGTTTTTGCTTCCTACACTCAGAATCTGGTTTCACAGGATGAACGGCTCTGCAAATTTTTATAAATATCCATCGAAGAGATTTTTCAACACTTCCTGTCTTCCCAGTGAGAAACAGGAAGTGAGGGAAAAACCTGCTTTATAAGGGACACAGAAACCCGACAGAGGTCCTACCCCCTTTTTTCACCTTCTCCTTGGGCCGGAGTCAGACTTTACGGCCGAATGGTTGCCATCCCAGAAGTGAAGCTGTGCGCTCAATACTTACTCAGCTTCCTCCACAGCTACGGGGCACTTGTACTGCGCGGTGTTGAAGAGGCAGATGTCGGCGTACTGTCGCACTGCAACGAGACCACACACACACGTCCATGTCATCCACAGGCTGCACATTGTCATGCCGACATACTGACGCTTGTAAATCCAAAAGAAAACCCACCAATCCCACTCCTCCCTCTACAACGGGGTCTCCCCCTTGGCTCGGCAGGGGCTCATCCTCACCCCCAAGGTGTCTATAGATCCGGGAGAAGGAAGATGGCGGCGCACCGCGGGAAATCCTCGCGAGTAAAACTTCATTGTAATGGAAAGAAAACTTGAAGCCCCATCTGAGACTTCCCCGTTGGGGGTCCTAGACGGGGGCCCCGTGTTGTCCGCCCGTTACAATAAAGTTTTACTATGAGGATTCCCACAGTGTGCTGCTGGGCATGTTCCTCTTGGATACGCATATTTTTCCCAATACAGTGTGTGGGCAGCCTCATGGGAGGCAAGACACACTCCCAGAACTACATCTCCCAAGAGCCCTTTCCCAATACAGTGTGTGGGCAGCCTCATGGGAGGCAAGACACACTCCCAGAACTACATCTCCCAAGAGCCCTTTCCCTATAAACAGTGTGTGGGCAGCCTCATAGGGGTCAAGGCACACTCCCAGATCTACATCTCCCAGGAGCCCTTTCCTTACACACAGTGTGTGGGCAGCCTCATAGGGGTAAAGGCACACTCCCAGAACTACATCTCCCAGGAGCCCTTTCCCTATACAAAGTGTGTGGGCCTCCTCATAAGGGTCAAGGCACACTCCCAGAACTACATCTCCCAAGAGCCCTTTCCCTATAAACAGTGTGTGCGCATCCTCATAGGGGTCAAGGCACACTCCCAGAACTACATCTCCCAAGAGCCCTTTCCCTACACACAGTGTTAGGGTTGCCACCTGTCCAGGATTCACCTGGACAGTTCGGGTTTTGAATGTCAGGCAGACCAGGGGCAACCAAAATTAAGATTGGGGCTACTAGAGTGTTCGGGTTTCGCTTGAAGAAAAGGTGGCAACCCTACACAGTGTGCGGGCAGCCTCATAGGGGTCAAGGCACACTCCCAGAACTACATCTCCCAAGAGCCCTTTCCTTACATAGAGTGTGTTGGCAGCCTTATGGGAATCAAGGCAGCAGCATTGTTTTGCTAGGAAAGAAATACATGTAGAGCGGGAGATAGGAGGAGTTCTGTAGTCTAGTGGGCAGAGCTGACAATGCTGGCTGGGGTAATAATATAGCTAGCAGAGGCAGCGTTGTCACCTCAAACAGTCACGGAGGGGATTGGAGGACCTGAATCACATGATATGGAGGGGGAGGGGCGTCCCAATACTTTTGGCAATATAGTATATATATACACACACACACACAGTATATTATACACATATACAACAGTACATCAATAATGATCACAGAGAACACAAAATAATCTAATTTAATAAAATGAAATGAAGGAGAAGGAACATGAAACATTTCCTTCCATATTTCACATCTTGTGACCGGATTTTAGTTAATCTGTTTTTATTAAAAAGGAAAATTAAATCAAAGCAAATTTTGCCTCAGCAGCTCAACGACTTAAAACCGGTCACAAGATGTGAAATATGGAAGAAAATATCTTTCAACCACGGATACAAATCAATACATTGTAACAGCCGCAGTATCTTCTGTATTGCGTCGTTTCCATTTTCAGCCAGCAGGTGGCGCTCTGGGCTCCTTATCACCGGTTCCCCTGTCTAGTTTTAGCCCTTGTCATGAAAACCTGCAGAACTCAATAGCTCAAGCGCAAATATGCACACAAGGCTGAACGAGTCAGAGTGTGGTGACTCCTCCCCCTGGCTCCAACCATTGTTCCGGACTAACGAGCTTATATGAGCTGTACGAATGTTCAATCAGAGACAAACAGCCGAAATGCGAATATGATAGACCCCTTCAAGCTGAACAAATATGATTTCAGAATGACTGTATCACGTAGGAATATACAGCCTATAGGATACTGAGGGACATTCATTCGCTGGAGCAGAGGAGGAGGCAGGCGGCAGGGCCTAGATGTTACATTGTGAGCTGCCTTTAGCCCTTACACTAAGCCTAAGCATTCCCAGGCATGCCCGACCTGTGCAAGGTCCACAAACGTTGTGCAACCAGCCCTGTGTGCACTCACTATACCCCATATCCTGCCAAGAATGGAGCCCATGAAGGACTGGACAAACCTACCTCAGGTGATCCTTTTTGGACCGTGGCTACTTTTTCAGAGATCCTTTCTTCTCATTTTGGATCATTTTAATTCAGGTTTCCTGGTGGCTCCCCATCCCTGAGATGTATGAAGAGTTAGGACTGGACAGTGAAGTCCTAATCCGATCACTTGGTGAAGACAGTTTCTTGGGAGTCTCTTGCGAAATTGGGTGGACCTGTGCTGGCAATGTAACTCTTGGCTATTTTTTGAAATGTGATCCTCACCCTCATTTTGGATACCTTTGGTGTCTCCAGATGTCACCCATCCCTGAGATGTACCAAGAGATGGGACTGGACAGGGAAGTCCTAATCCTGTCATAAGATTCCTTGGTGAGGACAGGTTCTTGGGGAACCTCTTGCCAGTGACTGTGCTGGCCATGTTAATATTGGTTTGCCTTCATTTTGGATACCTTTGATTCAGGTTTCCTGGTGTCTTATGATGTCACCCATCCATGAGATTTACCAAGAGAAAAGACAGTCCTTTTCCCATCAATGGACTTGGTGAGGACCGGTTCTTGCAAGTCCTAAGGAAGTCCAAACGAACCCTAATCCTTCATTGTGTTGTCCTTTTTGGATCTGCATTGGCCATGTTACTCTTGGCTTACCCTCATTTTGAATACCTTTGACTGAAGTTTGCTGGTGTCTACAGATGTCCCCCATCCCAGAGATATTCCAAGAGTAAGGAAAGTCCTATTCCCATCAGTGGACTTGGCGAGGACCGGCTCTTGCAAGTCTCAAGGAAGTTGGGAACTAACCAAAATTCTTCATCAGATTATGCTTTTTGGATCTTTGCAGGCCATGTTACTCTTGGCTTACCCTAATTTTGGATACCTTTGACTCAAGTTTGCTGGTGTCTTCAGATGTCACCAATCCCAGAGATATTCCAAGAGTAAGGAAAGTCCTATTCCCATCAGTAGACTTGGTGAAGACCGGTTCTTGCAAGTCTCAAGGAAGTCCAAACTAACCCTAATCCTTCATTGGGTTGTCCTTTTTGGATCTGCACTGGCCAAGTTACTCTTGGCTTACCCTCATTTTCCGTGCCATTGATTCAGGTTTGCTGGTGTCTTCAGATGTCACCCATCCCAGAGATATTCCAAGATTTAGGAAAGTCCTATTTCCATCAGTGGACTTGGTGAGGACCGGTTCTCACAAGTCTCAAGGAACTAACCCAAATCCTTCATCAGATTATCCTTTTTGGATCTGCACTGGTCAAGTTACTCTTGGCTTACCCTAATTTTAGGTACCTTTGATTCAGGTTTGCTGGTGTCCCTGAATGTCACCAATGTACCAAGGGTGAGGACACGTCCTAGTCCCATCACAAGAGTCCTTGGTGAGGACAGGGTGCTGCATGTATT